GGTCAAGGGCGACAACGCGTTAACAATGTTGTACAATCAGATTCCAAAGAAGCCGTAACAGAATTCGAGAAGGCGGCCAAAGAGGCAGTTAAAGAACTAGAGAGTGAGAACGAGTACGCACCTGGTGAAGACTCGATTAATTTTTTAGGGAACACTCCCGGCTTCCGTACATTGAACGACGGTTGGCTGGGAGAACTCTGAAGATGTTGATTGACACTGGCGCGGCAAAAAATTATGTGAAGCCCTTAACAGAGCTAAAGACCATAACGCCGGTCGCCAAGTCATTCTCGGTAAACTCGATCCACGGGACTACCGAAATCAAGCGCAAATGCTTTATGAATATTTTCCAACATACTTCCCCGTTTTTTCTCCTCGACACCCTAAGTTCTTTCGACGCCATCATAGGCTTCGACTTGCTAACACAAGCCGGAGTCAAATTGAACTTGGCAAAAAACACTCTGGAATACCAGAGTACATCCGAAAAACTCCAGTACTATCAATGTGCCGATGTGAACTTCAACGACATCGTAGTCCCCCCTCCGTAAAGAAAGAGTTTAGGGAGATGATACTCAGAAGCAAAAGAGCCTTCTCAAATGCAGATGAAGCTCTCCCTTTTAATACTGCTGTCATCGCTACAATCCGAACAGTAGACAACGAGCCTTTGTATTCAAGATACCCGAGTCTCATGGGTGTTTCTGACTTCATAAACAAAGAAGTCAAACAATTACTGGACGATGGCATAATCAGGGCCTCCAGATCGCCTTACAACAGCCCAACATGGGTGGTTGATAAAAAAGGCACTGACTCATACGGTAACCCAAAAAAATGGTTAGTAATCGACTTCAGGAAACTGAACGAAAAAACCATACCGGACCGTTACCCCATGCCGAGCATCCCCATGATCTTAGCAAATCTAGGAAAGGCAAAGTACTTCACTACCCTCGACTTAAAGTCTGGGTACCATCAAATCTACCTTGCGGAGCATGACCGCGAAAAGACTTCGTTTTCAGTAAGCAGCGGCAAGTACGAGTTCTGGCGCCTACCATTCGGCCTGCGCAATGCAAGCAGCATATTCCAAAGGGCAATAGACGATATCCTGAGGGAACATATAGGAAAGATTTGCTTTGTCTATGTAGACGACGTCATATTTTTTTCTAAAAACGAAACGTTAAAATGTCTAATCGACGCCAACATGCGTGTAGGCCCTGAAAAGACTCGATTCTTCAAGAAAAGTATCGAATTCCTGGGTTTCATCGTAACCAAAGACGGAGCAACATCCGATCCCAAAAAAGGTAAAGCCATTCAGGAATTCCCTGAACCAAAGAGTGTCTACAGCGTTAGGTCCTTCTTGGGGTTAGTCAGCTACTATAGGGTCTTTATTAAGGACTTTGTCGCGCGTCCAAAGAAAATCCCTGTTGAATTTAATGAAGTTCAACGCGATGCATTTCACCGTCTGCGGAGTATTTTGGCATCAGATGTCCTGTTAATGTATCCAGACTTCCAGAAACCGTTCGATTTAACCACTGATGCTTCGGCCAGTGGAATTGGCGCGGTTCTTTCCCAAGGCAATAGGCCAATAACAATGATTTCTCGCGCCTTAAAACAGGCCGAACAAAACTATGCCACAAACGAAAGAGAATTACTGGCCATTGTGTGGGCTTTAGGCAGACTGCAGAACTTTCTGTACGGTTCTAAGGAAATTAACATTTTCACGGACCACCAGCCGCTCACGTTCGCTGTGTCGGACAAGAACACGAATTCCAAGATTAAAAGATGGAAATCTTACATTGACCAGCACAATGCCAAAATGTTTTATAAACCGGGCGGCGGATGCCCTTTCAAAGCAAAACATTAATGCTCTGCAAGAATGGCTCCGTTCGGACGCTGCAACCGTTCACAGCGAACTTTCCCTGACCTACACGGTCGAGACAACAGACAAACCTTTGAATTGCTTTAGGAACCAGATTGTCCTAGAGGAATCGCGTTTTCCGCTAAAGCGAAACTTGTTGCTGTTTCGCAGCAAAACACGCCACTTGATCAGTTACACTGACAAGAAAATTTTGAAAGAAAAATTAATTAAATGTCCGTGTTGCTCGAAGAAAGCCGCTCATCGCTGAGCCAAATAAAATCAAGCGGCTGGATTTAGTCAGAAAATACTTGGAAGTCAGTCCAGACTATTGGAACCAAGTAATTTTTAGTAATGAGAGCAAATTCTGTATATTGGGAATCAAGGGGAGAAAGCTTGTGTGGCGAAAGAGGGTAAGTGTTTATGTATGTTGTGACTCATGGAAAGAATCATGTAGAGCAATCGTGTCTATGACTTGATTATTAAGATAATTTTAGCTATGCACAGACGTTTCTTCCACTTATAAGCCCTCTAAGTTGTATCGCTAAAGCTTTAAAACTGAATTGGTCTGATCTGCCATGAAATTAATTACAGATTGTCAATCAACTCTACACACTGATGAGGAATACATTTTTTGATTTTAGATACAAAATTAAATTCCTTTTATTAAAATTCGCTAATCATTTTTAACGATTAGCTTTATTGAGTTACATTATAAAACATGTAAGAAAGCTCCAGTCCGGGTGCCCGACTAGGAGATACCCTGATCCCAGAGTATAAAAAACAAATTAAAATCGACAATACTACACCAAGATTCGAACTCACAATTTCTACGCAACGCGCGTCAACTCCACCAACACCGCCACTTCATAATTAAAAAATAAAAGAATAAAAAAATAAAAAAAGGGATTAACTGCTTACGAACGCCGCCTCTACCAACGCTGCCACTGCACCACTTGTAAGAAGAGTTGAAAATTTTAATTTAAGTAGTACCTAATAATTCAGCACAATTCAATCGCAATTTCGCTTCTTCGAATAGAAAAGAACACATTCATTTGAATGTATGTGTGCACACGTATAGGAAAAATACGTGCGCTTAGCGCTTCTGACGTGCTTTTGCAAATTGGCCAAACATTTTGTTTAATAACTTCGGTTTTACTTAATGGATTTTGAGGAACTTTTCAGCATATGATCTGCATATTCTATTGACTTGGTACAAATCCAAACGCTTTCATATAATGGCCCTATTTTCCACCGAACTTAAATCTTAAGCATTTGGTGAAGTTCGGAGCCAGTATCCAAAATCCAACAAAAATCAAAATTGCATAAGATATACATAAAACTAAATACAAAATTTTGAGGCTCTAGCTATAATGTATTAAATGCATTTCGATCATGTTTTTATTCGAAAACAATTAAATGGGAATAGTTGTCGAATATATGAAACAATCTTGATATGCGTGTGCTACACACTGGCCTGCAAAAGTATCAAGCTCTTATAGATTCTGAGATCGTCGCGTTCACACATTTGTACTGACAGACAGACGGACAGGGCTCAATCGACTCGGTTTGTCGTTCTGATCAAATATATACACTTGCCAGAAAAACTAGGTGTACAGGCCTAATGAGCGACTTTGGTAGAGAATAAATGTGATAAATAATAGTATATGTATCAATATCATATTTTAATAACACACATTTATCAACAATATTTTTTATAATATTAAACAGTTTTTTTGTTATATTTAAAATAAGAAAAAAACAACGAAAATTCACTTAGAAAAAGTATGCGTACAAACTAACAACCCATTGTTCTTAATCGTCTTGCAAAGCTTTTAGTACCGTTAAACAGCATATTACGGTAAAGAAAGTATTAAAGGATGTCAATCACGTGTTGGTTTGCAAATTTTGTCATTAAGTTGATAGATTTCGTCATGGGCAGAAAAACAAAAGAGATTGATCCCGATCTGAGGAAACTCATCGTAAAATTACGCGATGAAGGGAAATCTTTCAGAGAAATTGACGAAATTGTTGGCAGAACTCATTCTTCAGTCCAAAGAGTAGTCAATAACTTTAATTTGACTGGCTCAGTTAAGTCAAAGCCACGCTCGGGAAGGCCCTCAAAGCTGAGAAGAGGGACGTGCTGAAGACTGTGCTGCTAAACCCTGGATTAACTGCAGCAAAGATTAATCAGGAAGTTAAACAGAAGTACAAGAAAGAGCTTCACGAAGACAGCATAAGAAAATTTTGAAAGAAAAATGAAATAAATGCCCGTGTTGCTCGAAGAAAGCCGCTCATCTGAGCCAAATAAAATCAAGCGGCTGGATTTCGCCAGAAAATACTTGGTCAGTCCAGACTATTGGAACCAAGTAATTTTTAGTGATGAGAGCAAATTCTGTATATTGGGAATCAAGGGGAGAAAGCTTGTGTGGCGTTCGATGTCCAAAATCTAGCTCCAACCGTTAAGAACGCCGGAGGTGGCGTAATAGTGTGGGGTGTACGGCAGCAATTGGAGTGGGCAATTTGGTTTTTATTGAGTCCACAATGAACCATATGGATTAAGTCCATTTATTGAAAGCCAATTTGCACCAAAGCGCCAGACAATTGGGTCTTAGGAAGGACTTTGTCTTCCAACAGGACAATGACCCCAAACACACAGCCCACAATGTCAAGCTCTGGTTGCTCTACAATACTAAACACCAGCTTCATTCGCCTCCCCAGTCACGGGACCTTAATCCCATTGAGCATTTATAGGATTTTTTGGAACGCATGATCAGAGAGCGAATAATTACATCAAAGGACATGATCAAATCGGTTCTGATGGAGGAATGGCTAAAAATTTCGGTTGATTTCACCCGGAAATTGGTGGCATCGATGCCAAAACGGTTGGAAGAGACCAAGAAGCGAAAGCGGTATCCAACCTCATATTAATTTTGCAAATTCTCATTGAAAAAAAGTTATTTTTCTTTTGTTTTTTAGTTTGTACGCATACTTTTTCTAAGTGAATTTTCGATCTTTTTTTCTTATTTTAAATATAAAAAAACTTTTTAATATTATAAAAAAAAAAATTGTTGATAAATGTTTGTTATTAAATTGTTTTCCATTAAAAAATATAATATTGATAAATATACTATTATTTATCATATTTATTCTCTATCAAAGTCGCTCATTAGGCCTGTACGCATAGTTTTTCTGGCATGTGTATATAAAACGACAGCTATTTTGCGAGTCTGACTTCAAAGACGTAGGAGTTATAATTTAATAGCTGACACTCGATAAATTTTTTCTTCGATAACAATAAATGGCAATAGTTATCGATAGTTTAGTTCTCAACATCATTTATTTTAAAATTTGCAAAACATATTGAAATCAATTTAGCAGGGGACAAATTACCGCGACCCAAAAGTATGTACATAGTTGTAATAGTGTCGGCGGTCAGAAAAGGCATCTTGCATGCATTTTTATATCCTTATTTTAATTATAATTTCGATGTAAAAAAATGTTCATAAAAGCACAAGTGAAAACATTGGCTAAACAGTCAAGTTAAGCACACATGTACTTTATATTACTATGTTTAATGTTATAAAATATTTTATTTATTGTCCAGAGCGATTACTTGTAGTCCACAGCCATAAATAAATAAGCACTGATTTATATTAAGTATTCCCTTGACATCGGATAAACATGTAAAACCAATACGGTTGTATTGCAAAGTCTTTAGGTTTAACTTATATATTTGCTTATCCATGCTACATGTATATGCATATATGGTTTGACAAGCGCCTTGTGATAAGTGAAGATTCAATGCGGTTATTTGAGCATTATGTATCTCCGAAAACTTCACGCTTTGTAATATAGTCATATCAGTTGTTTTAATTATGGTGTGCTTTATCGTTTCGTCATCTCCACCGGATAAAATATGTAAATGTAAACCATCATAAAGTGTTTCAAAAGCGCTGATACTAGTAGCATGCAACTGTATTTCAAATCGCTTAAAACGTAGACTGTTTTCAAAACCATAAAGTATTCCGTTTGTGGTTGTGATAAGCAACAAATTATGATTATTTAAAGCCTGCATCTGCAGCGGACATCGTTTAATATCAATAATGTAATCTAAGACAAGTTGAGAAGGTTTTTCTAGTTGCCATTGAAGCAAACGAATTTTTCCATCGGCACTGGCAACATAAAGAAAAAATGTTCCATCTGTAGCGCTTTGTAGAACGTTAACTGCCATCAATCGAGCATCGAGTAAGGCATTGTTGCCGTCACTATTTATTCTGACTGTATGTGAACACAATTCACTTGCGACTGGACCATTTGGCTCAAACTTATTGATGCATAACTGCGCCCGCCCTCCAACTGAGAATATTAGCCAATATATAACATCAGTTTCAGATTTAATTGGATGCAATACGAGATGACGTACGGTTGAAATGTGCGTATGCAACTCGGCACATGGGTTAAATGATTTACCATTCAGTTGACTAATTTTTATAATATTGTCATCACCAGCTGATACAAGATATGGTTGCGAATTATTATTTTGCTCAACTATTTGTATAATATTACAGCTTCTTATATGCCATTTATTTCGAAAAGCCCTACTTAAGCATCCAGGCGCTTCATTGTAAAGTTGTTCACGATGATGAAATACACGCTTTTGCTTAATATATATTATATCAAGTACTTCATTATTTAATTGGTAATCCCAACAACGATGGCCCCCACCGCATTGCAATTGTAAAATTACGCCATTTTTATGAGACCATGCCACAAGATGATTATCATTGAATCCAATCAATACATCTAATGTCGGCATTGCTTCTATCCAAGCTAGAGGTACACTCTGACGTTGTAAAACAGTTAATCGATAATCAGTTAAATTTAAACATATAACTCTTAAAGTTGATTCATGCGCCGCACTTAATATGTATGCATATTTATCATCAATCTTTAACAATTTTAGGACAATCGATCCAATTTTGCCATGCAAACCTTTAAGTATCTTCTTTAGTTGTAAATGCGAAGACTTTTCTCGTGTGACGAGCATAATATTTCCATTGCGACAGCTTATTATAAAACAATTTGACTTCACAAGTACAGCAGCTGTAATCCAAGTATTACGACAATTGCTGATATTTATACTACCTTCAACATCCATATTACATCCCTTTAGTAGAAGACAGTTTCCATATTCATCAGATATTAAATATAACTGTTTTGTCAGAAAGTGAAATGATTGAATAAGACCTTCAAGCTTTATTCCATCATAAAGTTGTTTAAAACATCCTGTATCGACGTGATAGCTTAGAAGTGTAACACGCTGATAGCCACAAGTAGCGACTATATTATCAGATACAGTTAGAACTGTGCACTTATATGCGGGAAAAATGGAAACTGATTCCCAAATTGGCGTTTTTTGTGAATTCACAAGACGCATGTAGTACATGTTATTTTTATTGCTTAGAGCAATGATTGTACTGTAATTAAGGTATTTAACTTTTATCAAAAATTCATTAGATGAACCCATATGCATTTGTTGAATTGAATAGTTTTTTTTTGAAACTAAAATGTTTTTTAGATTATAGGTAAGAATATTTCCAGTTGAGCCAGTGCTATAGAGTTTCGCTGAAACATGGTCAAAAGCAAGACGCCATATCGATGCTCCAAATTGTTCACGTCGTTTAAATATCATTTCACCTGTTTGACTCCAAACACATATATAAGAATCCTCTCCGCCACTAATAATAAAAATTCGATCCCCTATGAAATAAAATGCTTTATTTAAAAAAGGATTTTATTTTTTCAAAATAATTTTCCTACTTACCATATTTCGCAATTATAGCACAAAGAACTCGTGCAGTATGTCCATAGCAACTGCAAAGAGGTTTAATCAGCGATGAATCAAATTTCATCTCTAGATTAGAATTTAATTTCCAAAGTTTTAAGGAGCGGTCATCGGATGTGGTTACCAGCAATTGAGCTGTTAAATTGAAGTCAATAGAAAATACAACACCATTATGCGCCTTAAGACGCAAGAGAAGTGGGTATATGTTTGAACGAGCACTATTATTAAAATTAACTGGAGTATGGGGCTGCCAAATAAGAATTTCTCCAAATGAATTTCCGCTTATAATAATAAGCTTATTATAGCTACTACCATATAAGGCCGTGTTATATAACATAGAATAATCTGTACAACGTGCTAGTTCTAATACAGTACATTTTCCAAATTTCATATTATTCATGTTATCGTATTGTAAACGCAAAAGCGAGCTGTGAGCCATATGTAACACAAATTGACAGCCTTCTTCGTCCTTTATATATATGGCTGCATTTATCCAGTCCTTTGTCTCACCTTCGTAAATTAATATAAACATTTCTTTCTGAGTAAGATCATATTTATAAAGAGAGAACTCATTTTCGGCAAAAAGTAGTATCAATCCTGTAAGCTCAGATTTTTGGTTACATACCGAGCCATGTATTTTTTTATAATGCATTTTATTTGTCACCCGTACAATCGAATTTCTTCTAAGGTAAAACACTTCATTGCCAACAGCTAAAAATAAATACATGTAAGTGGATCACATATCCATTTTAACTATTGCAACATACCAGTCAGTAAGGAGTTATTTGAGATATTCACTGATAATGCATCCGTAAATAAGATCTGTTTTGCACTCATATTTCAAATTTCTTTTCACAATTAAATGTGTTAAATCTCGAAACAAAAATGGTTAACTCGTTGTTTCACCATGTACAGTAAAATTTAGCGGTGGAAGATACTAATCGCGTACAATTTGTTAATCATCGATATTTTTCTCCGATGCATTTCAATTCGGAAAACATAATAAACGGACGACAATTACAGATCGATTCATTTTAATTGTGCTATTTATCCCTTAAAAGCTTCGAAACATTGATGTGTGCGAATATCTTGTACAGTTCTAATGCTTACAAAACTATTTGAATGTAAAAATTCAAGTTCAAAAATTGAAAGTACGTGTATGGACGCTATGGTACATCTCAACAATACTTTGTGCTCTCTCTGTAAGCGACAGACTCTAACTCTAACTATATTTTTAACTTACTTTGTAGGCACTTATTATTAATGCACAGTGCAATCATCTATATATTAATATTAAATACAAAAATAAATAACTTTAAGCTCTGTAGGTTACCTTGTGCACAAGATTAAATTAAAATGGGACAATTTAATTAAAATTAAATTCTTCATTTTAAGCTTATTTTATCTAATTTTTTAAATTGATTAAAGCTTTATACATGTGAGTTACATAATGGTAAATACAGAGTACAAATCATATTTAAGGCAAAAATAGTTTATTGCGTGTTTAATTTAGGCAGAACATACTAAAAAATAAAACATACATAACTGTTTTCAGGGTATCTCATAGTTTATTTAAATTATATACATATATGATCGGTTTCGTCTGTATATAAAATAAGCAGCTTGTCACTTTTAAACACTGCAAAAAAATATAATTTTTGATTTTAGACGTAAATTAAAAGGCCTTTTATTCGAATTTACGAAATTTGTACTGCTAAGCTGTTTGATAATTAGAGTATGACGCAATGCATTAACTCAGTGGAAACAGAAACATTATTTCGATTGCAAAATTTGGATAGCTAACAGTTATGGTTTGGGGGTGCATCTTTCGCAGAGGAGCCGGAGAACTGACATTTATAGCGGACACCATAAATGCGGTTCTGTACTTTCAAGTTTGAAAGAGAAATGTAAAAAGTTTTGCTTTATAACAACAAGAAGCCAAATTTATATTCTATCAAGGCAATGATCAAAAGTAGCAGGATATTAATATGTGCTCTGAGCTCTTTTTTAATTGTGGCAAGGCTAGTGATAAACAACCACAGATTCCCTATCTGAACATCACCAAACTTATGTGGGCTTACCTAATGAAAAGAGTGGGAAATCGGAATCAAAGGAACCGCTTACAACTGAAAGCTGCTATCATAGAAATGTGGCAAAAGAGCCCTCTTGAATATTTAATAAAGATTAATTTTTTTTATAAATACATGTTAGGTGCAAAATGAATAGCCTTTTATTTAAATTAACGATTTTTTTAATGTTTTATTGTTTAATAATAGGTTCTGAATAAGATTATAAAAAGAGAGAGCAAAACTTCAATTGTGTAACAAAATAAGCAACAAAAACTAAAATTGCAAGTAATCAAGTGAATACGTTTCTTGACAGCTTTAATAAAAAGTAATTTTAGTTTTCATACCCTGATTCCATTGAAAATGGGACATTAGGGTATGGCGTTGTGCGTTGTGCAAATATATTTAACAGGCAGATGGAGGCGTGGCAGACCTCATAAAATATATACAGTTTGACACGAAACTGTTTTCACATGGCGAAAAAATTATATTTTTGTTCTTTAACATAAAAAAAATATACTAAGTATGAGATTTCAATATTTTTTTAAATTATATTATGTTTTTTTTAAATTATTGTCTTACAAAAATAATTAATAAAAATTAAAAAACTTTTAACAAAGGCATAAAAAAACAATAACAACTAAAAACATATTCAAATTCAAGTGACACGCATTTACCGTTATTTTCGGCGTTTTCAATATGTGGCTGATGCTATGTTCTGAAGAATTTCGTCATATTTTGTAAGAATCGATATACATTCATTACAATCTTGAACAAATTTGAACAAATTAAAAATGCTAGGAAAGCGATTGTCATTTGACATGATTCAATTGGTTTATTATAACCACTCCATAGGAAAATCGGTCTCGGAGATAGCAGAAATGTTTATAATATCGAAGAGGACCGTTTACAAAATTTTAAGCCGGGCAGAGAACGATGAAACACTGGAGCCAAAGCGTTCTACCGGACGACCTCGAGCGTTAACAGATAGGGCAGAGCGTATTCTGGCCAGGAAAGTTAATGATAACCCAACAATTTCGACCAGAACGCTTGCCAGGGAGCTGCAGGAAGAGTGTCGTATTGACATATCCCGCGAAAGTGTCCGCCGAGCCCTAAAAAGGAACGAGTTTGCATCCCGAGTTGCGCGGAAAAAATCATTATTGTCGTCTGATCATAAAAAAGACGTCTAACATTCGCCAGGATGCATGTGGGACATGTGGAATCATATTGGGATGAAACCATATTTTGCGACGAGACGAAGATGATGTTGTACTACACCGATGGACCCAGCCGTGTGTGGCGAAAGCCGTTGAAAGCCCTTGAACGAAAAAATATAATTCCTACTGTAAAGTTCGGAAAACTTTCAGTGATGGTCTGGGGGTGTATTTCTAGTAAAGGAGTTGGAGAACTATATTTTATAGAAAATTCAATGGATGCCAAACAGTATTTGGAGATTTTGCGCACGTATCTAGTGTCCAGTGCCCGAAAGTTTGCATTTTTTAGGGATGGTAAACCAACTTTCAGATTTTACCAAGACAATGACCCCAAACATAAAGCCAACACAGTCAGGTGTTGACTTCATTACAATTGTGCAAAGGTGTTGGATACTCCTGTACAAAGCCCCGACCTTAGTCCCATAGAGAATCTGTGGGCTGATCTTAAAAAAAGGACAGCCAAGCGAGGTCCAACAAATAAAAGGGATTTTAAGTCTTATATATTGGAGGAATGGGAGAAGACACCGGTGGAATATGTTCAAAACGTAATATATTCCATGAATAGACGGTTGGAAGCGGTCATTGAAGCCAACGGGGGTCATACCAAATACTAATTTTAATAGTTAATTAAGTTAATATTGCCTTATTTTTTGACACTTTCGTGTCACTTGAATTTGAATATGTTTTTAGTTGTTATTGTTTTTTTATGCCTTTGTTAATAGTTTTTTAATTTTTATTAATTATTTTTGTAAGACAACAATTAGAAAAAACATAATATAATTTAAAAAATATTGAAATCTCATACTTATTATATTTTTTGTATGTTAAAGAACAAAAATATAATTTTTTTCCCATGTGAAAACATTTTCGTGTCATATATATTTTATATTTTTTATTGAACGGCAGGCTGAGTCGATTAAGCCCTGTCCGTCTATCTGTATGTGTGAACGCGTAGATCTCAGCAACTTTAAGTGCTAGAGAGGTCTGTGTATTGAATAGAGCCTCCACATTTTATATATTTAGTTTAATGTATATTGTCAACATTTTTGATTTTTGTAATATTTTGGATACCGGCTCCAATTTTCCCCCATTTATTTATATTTAAGTTCAGTTGCAAATAGGTCCAATATGTGAAAGAGCTTGCAGTTTTACTAAGCTGACAATTACTCTAATTAATTATGTAGAAAAATTATCAAACAAAACTTTTCGCCAATTTGCATAAGAACGTGGACACCAGTGTCAACTGTATGCATTTTTCTTGTATACCTTCACTTACATTCAAAGGAGTCTATTCTTTTCGATTCGAAGAATCGAAATTGAGATTGAAATGTGTTTATATTATCAACTGCTACTTAAATTGAGGTTTGAAATTTCTTACACAAGCAGGGCAGTGGTGGTGTTGGTGGCTCGTTTGTAGAGGTGATGAGCGTTGCATATACAATTGTGGTTCAAATCTTGATGTCGTAATTTCAGTTTTTATCTTCTTGTTTTCTTTTGAAAACTAGAAACAAATTATGGAAATATGAAGCAGCGCAGAAAGGACTGGAAGCAGGGTATCACTGGAAAGGGTATCACCTAGTCGGGCATCCCTATAACTCACTCTTACCTAGCGACTAGTGCATGAACTTTTGGTATGTTGGTAACTTATATATAAAGACAGATATGGAGCAAAATATGCTGATTATGGAATTTTCTATGAAAAGCGTCCTAGAGCACGCGGTGGGTAGGACCAACCGCACATTTTTAATGTATGGGGTTTTGACACCTCAATTATGGCTTGTCTATACACTTGACTGTGGTATTGTTCAGTTTTGTTATTTTTATTCTCTTGACTATGATATATATACCCTCACTCATGCATATTTAAACCTTAAATCTAGCTTATCTATTGCTGAATTTGTAAAGCTCAGCGTTGAGCAGCCTAATTTTAGATTCAAAATATGTGGTCTTATCTAATTTTATTGCAACACCTGCTAGTCGTTGAGTCGCTAGACTTTTCTTGATTTTAATTAGGTCTTCAATATTCTATTGTTGTGTGTTATATAAAAGTTAATATGTAGCCTTTGCTTTTTTGTATTACAGAATAAGGACAAACGTATTTAAAGTTCTGTTCCGTCTTATTGTTTGGATCAGACTTAATTTTAAATTATTATTTTAGATGAGAGAGCACTGAGACTGTGGGTGTGACTGCCAGCTGGGACTGCCGGCTGTGACTAACTAGAATCTGAAATACCAAAGGTTCTAAGTGAAGCTAGTTGCTAGTTGGATGTGTTAACTTATATTTAATTAATATATTTTTACCAAATTTTGTAAATTAGCTTGTATACCTAGTCTAATGATAAATATGCAAATTAATATGTTATGTGTGCTGAAAATAGCACCAGTGTGTGTAGAGGTGACTAGCCTTGCTGAGGAGATTCTCATCTATCCTGTTTTTTATTTTTGTTTGCTTGGAAAATATTTGCTATTTCATCAAGAAAAACTAAATTCGAACGATGCGGTGACCATTCATATTTTTTGAGTATATGGAAAAATATTGCTTATCCTAAGCTTTTTACTTGTACCATTTTAAAATCATTTTAAAACAACCCTCATGAAAACTTTGGATCGAATTTCCTGATGAATTTTGATTTTTTAAACGGTGGATTTGGAAAAAA